CCCCCCCCACCCGTGTCATGCATACAAGTGGCCATACTCAGCAGGTATTAGGGGGGTCACAGGAGCACTGCACTTATTTGAACAGTATGTAGTTTGACAGACATTGGATTGTCCTCAAAGTTAGTGTGAGTTTTTCCATTGGTTTTGCCAACCTTTGGATAGTTCACCAAATATTATTTTTGCTCGCAACTTATTTTTCATTTATTTGGTTTGCATGTGAGGGAGAGTTTTCATGGCATCTGAGGTGCATTTTTTGATTGAGGTACAGTTATCTTTATGTGTTGAATGCCTGATATATGCTAAGTTTTAAAAAGTGTATGTTAATCAGTTGGATAACATTTCAGTGCTAAAGGATAGAAATAAATAGGAACTTATTGTACAACTAAAACTTACAGTTTTTCCTGAGGTTCTCATTGTTCCTAGACCCACACTAAGTACTATTTCTATCTTAATATTAGATTTAAAGGCCAGTCTTCAAGGTGACAATTATACTTTCTGTTGTCTCAACACCATTAATTGTTTTATACCTGTCTAATATTATGCACATGGAATAAATCATTTATTGTTCACTGACCAAATGTTATAAAATGGAGAAACATTTATTACTGCTTGGAAAAAAATATTTAGTTTGTTCTGAGACAAAAGTGCATTTTGTTTAAAAAGAGTAAGTATATATTGATATTTTTTAAACAAATGTTTCAATTTCTATAACTTTTTTTTCCTGTACATGACCAGAACAGTTAGATGCATCAATGAATTGTTTGTTGGTAGGAATAGGCATTTTTCATCTCGAGTTTCTTCTGAAAAATGTCTCCCAGGTCTGATAAGGGTTCCATGGATTTCAGTCTACAAAGTTAAGCAATTGCAGAATTAGTGGCCATATGCCCTAATGCACAGCAGTAGATACTGAAATCATCATAAAGCACCTTAATGTTGTCTTAGCTACTGAAAATAGATTTTTGCAGTTTGTGACCATATTCAGATCATAAAGTTATGCATTCAGTGTAATTATAAATTAATTTATTATTTAATTATAAAATAATTAAAGTAGTTATTAATATTATTCTAATATTATAAAAGCCTTAGTCTGTCTGTCCATAATGCTTTATTCGCACTCTGATTGGCTGTCTCGGCAGCCAATCAGAGTGCTCTACACAGATAGCGACAGACAGTGGAGTGGCGCCATGACAGTGGGGACTGAGGAGCTGAAGGGGAGGGGGACGAGGCCAGCAGAGCTCCTTGTCCCCCTCCCCTGCTTCTTAGAGGTGGGGTCCAGAGCACTGCCGTAACAGAGGATGGAGCAGGGAGGTGAGGCTAGTGGTGCTGGTCTTGCCCCCTCAGTTGTGCTTCTTGGAAGCAGCAGGGGAACAGGGGAGGGAGGGGAGCAGGAAGGGAAAGGGGGTTATCAGTGGCTGCACCTCACTGCAGCCATGACTGCTGCAGTGGTCGCAGGCCCCGGCCCTGGCCCAAAGAGGCGGGGGGGAGTGGGGAAATGGCCCAGGCCCCGGCCTAAAGCAGTGGGAGGAGGTGGGGAATGGCCCCAGCCCTGGCCTCTTCCCTGGCCCCAGCCTGAAGAGGTGGGAAACAGCCCCAGCCCTGGCCTCAGCCCAAAGTGATGGTGGGGAGGTGGGGACCAGCCCAGACCCTGGCCCGAAGGGGAGGTAAGAAACGACACAGGCCCCAGCCCCGGCCTGAAGCGGTGGGGGGAGGCGGGGAGTGGCCCTGTCCCAAAGGGGAGTGGGGAAACGGCTCTGGCCTGAAGTGGTGGGAGAAGGTGGAGAGCAGCCCTGGCCAAGGGGGTGGAGGGCGGACTGAGGCCTCTCTCCCTGCCCGCCCTCCTATCATTCTTGACGGCCAGTTTGCTAGTATAATATAATGCTTTTGAAGATGAATTGTCAAGTGAAGATGAAGAGGAAACAGAAAAACTCAAAACTGTGTACAAATTCCTCACTGACTGTGTCACTGAACATAGCAATACAAAATACATTGTAGTGTGCATTTTTTAAATATTCTTTTCTGTGACTGGAAAATCCTTTGGCACCTTTTGTTTAACAAAAAGCATCTTAGTGATAAATAATTTGGCATTGTTGTTGGCATTGGTAATCCCACTGATTTTTGTGGGACTCTCAGTGCAGTTTTCCACATATATCCATTGAGGGCTCTAGTTCTACTATTCAAAATTAGTTCTGCTGCAAGTAGGACTAACTCAACCTTCATACCTGAAGCACTGTTACAGAAATAGTGTTTCATCATTGTGGAGTTTTCCCAGCAGTAAGTCTTTTTGTGAGACTTGCTACCTTTGGAAAAGGGTTCCAGAATTCCTGTTATGATGATATATATAAGAACACTTCCAACTTTAAACATGGAAACTGCCTTGACCTCAGTATCCTTTCTGAATGAGTGCCATACAGTATGGAAATGCACAAATTCTTAACCTTTCTACTGAAATAGTAGTTAAATTTATATTGTAATAGGAACTGGTATTTCAAAATTAACAGGTCTGGGTTATGGTTTCCACTAGAAGTAACTGAAATAGAGCATTAAACGTATCGTGCTTTCTCAGTGCCTTAAAAACTTAGTGTTTTTCAACAGTTGCTAGATTTCTTCATTAGAGGGGATGTTTTATAGAGTTGGTTATAAACTACAAAGATCAGATACAGTTTTAGACCTTAATCATCTCTAAATTCAGATCAGTTTTTTGGGTGGCTCGTAATATAGCTAGGTGCCAGGTACAATGTCAATGTTCAGGCCCAAATCCCAGCTTCAGCAAAAGTTCAGGGGTGTACAAACCCAACTTTGTGAAACTACTCATTTCCAATCTGACAGTATAAGGGATTACTTTAGTGAATACTGATAGTGTACTAGGGGTCTTGGTTCATACCACAAGAACATTCTGTGAGGGGGTTTCTTTAAACAAATCTTAATTTTCCTGAGATACACAGCAAAGTCAAGATTATTCTGTAATCATCAGCCTGCCCACCAGAGTTGATTATTATAGAGTCTACTATAAATTGAAAAAGGAAGATGACAGAGGAGGGAAAAATGCTAGCTATTATAAAATATACCAGAGAACTGTTTGATGATCAAAAATGAAATGCACTAGGGGGAATAGATTTAATAAAGATAAGGTAGTGGACATTTATAAATGAAACTAAGCTTCTGATAGACTGGCATTTAGCCTGAGCAGTGAGATGTGAAGGTCTTCATGAGATTCTTTTTTTTTTTTCATATCAAAATCCTCTATCAGCTAATCACAGCCTATTATATCAACATTCTGCATGCTTCATGAACAGGGAAAATGGAAGCTCATTCTCAGTGTTGTAGCTTGTTTTAAAATAATTATTTCTAATAGAAGTTTCTATTTCACCTCTTACCTTAGCAGTCGGTCAGAAAGCTTCAGTTCCTAGCAGGAATCTTTAGAAAGTCAAGGATTCAAAGGATATAGGCAGACAAGGTATTCAAAGGTCATTTGTTCCTTTATCAAAGACTTGCAGGGGGTGAATAACTTCCCCCATCCCCCCACACACTCTTTTGTTGTTTACTGGGGCACAGAAAATCCAACTTGGGGCTTTGCATCCCTGTAGGTTGTCCCTAAAGGAACACTGTGTGCTTACCCAAATACAGTTACCTTAATTGTCACATTGTTTGGGGGGGCAGATTGAATCCATAGAGGGAGTTGCTGGGGACCAGGAGAGTTTGGCAGGATCAGGATGGCTCATGGGGTCCATGGGGAGGGGTGGGGGAGTTGGGTGTTCTCTCCCCTACCCCTGGGTGAAGGGGCTTTTTAACCCCCCAGCCCTCCCCCAGATAAACAACACCCCCATCCCACCCACCACTCCCCCAACCATGACTTAACTTCCTCAGCTCCTGGCATTGCTGAATGCTGGTAAAACTGGCATGAGGAGCGGTTTGTGAGATGTTGCGTTAGCAGACCTTGGGCGGGGGGTGGGGTTGTCCGATTGTCCATCTGGGGGTGAGGAGAGAAGCCAGGGGGCTAAAACTAGCCCAGAGCCAGAAAGGGGATAGGAAAAGCACAGCCCTAGAGCTAGGGCCATTTGTTAGGCTTTCCCAGACCTGGGCACTGAACTGTTCAGAAGGTCAGGACATTTAGATCAGTCTAAGTTAGACTGCCTCAGAGGTAGGGTTAGCTTAGATTGGCTTAGCCACTTTTAGAGTGATCTGATTTCCCTGAACTTCTGTATGGTTCACACTTGGATCAACCTAACTGAAAATCTAAGTGTAAGGTCCACACCTGGGCAAACTAGATAGATAGGGTGGCCATTTTTAATTTGATCTAAACTCCCTATAACCTCCCCAAATGTATGTATGTACCCTTAGAGTTCAGAGTAGTACTTGTTGGGTGCATCTACATATGTGCTTTAATGTGCAGTGGCCTATTTTACTGTGTATTAGAGCGTCG